CCCCCCCAACATAAAATTATTTTCATTGTTAATCTCATAGCTGTAATTTTGCTAATGTTATGAATCATAATGTAAATATCTGTTATGTAGGATACTTGATATGAGACCCCCAAAGAGGTGATGCACAGGTTGAGAACCACTGCTCTAGGCTGTCTCGCCACTGTGCTTAAGGAAAAGGTTGCAACCCTTACACAGTATGATAGGAAGCCTGTGTTTAAAGTGTTCATGGCCCGTGGTATCCACACTCAACCAGAAAATTCCAAAGAAATGGGGAGTTTTGTGTGAATTGAAATGTCCCTCATCAGCCTCACATTCATAATGGTAGGAGGGGCTCCCGGGGTGATGGATGGTTAGAACCAGTGGTAGCCAGCTTCTTTTGCCTGTGTGGATATCGGAGACTCTGACCTAAAACAGACATGAGAAATCCCAACAGTATAGTCCAGGACTAAAACCTCCAGGCACATAACATTCTGTTCTTCCCTTCAATCCCACAGTGCCTGCTTCTCTCCAACAACTATGTCAGAAAAAGAAAATGGAGCCACTGACCTGTTCAGGAACCCTTTGGGTGGGTTTATGCTTCCTGGGCTAACAGGCTTCCTCATGATTGGTTCTTATTCTTCACCTCATTTGCATACATGCACCTAGTAATCGGAGTTTGTCTGGGTCCATATAACAAGGTGCTTGGCCTCTTTATTGTCAAACTCTATGGATGGCTCCCTGGGGAGGGAAAATGGATAATTGCTTCTGCTTCTCTAGACACATCTACTGCTGCCACCTCTAGCAAGGGAGCTCACTCCTGCCTCAGCCTCTCAGACCTCTTGTGTCAGCCTCTTTAATGGCATGCCTATTGTGGTAGCTATTCTTGGATGAGTACCTGACTGTGTCTTTTTGTAATTAAACCATGAAATGGGAAGATCCACTTCTAACCCAGAGCATTGAGGTGTGAATATCCACCTTTAATCTGGGCCACAGGTTCTCCTGGCAGCCTGTATAAAGGACATGGAAGAAGGAAGCTTCCCTCTTTGCCTTCTTGTCCTCACTCTTGCTAGCAAGTCCATCTCCTCACTGGCATCAAGGCCTACTTCAGGGCTCCAATGTACACTAAAGACCAGATGAGACATCCAGCCTCATGGACTAAACAACTACTAGATTCTTGAGCCTTGGTAGAACTAGCTATTATAGGTAGGTAGTCATTGTTGAACTAGCTGGAGAGCAAGCAATTCTGATAAATTCGTATATATATATATATATATATATATATATATATATATATTCTTTCTATAGGAATTCTATAAGAATACATATGTATGTGTGTATATGTGTGTACATGTATGTATGTATGCGTTTGTGTATTTGTGTATGTATGTATGTATGTTTGTGTATGTATATATATGTATATATGTATATATATATATGTGTGTGTGTGTGTGTGTGTGTATGTGTGGTATGTATGTATATGTGTATGTGTGTGTGTATGTGTATGTATATATGTATGTATGTGTATATGTATGTATATATGTGTGTATGTGTGTAT